GACTCTGGTTCTAGATCAGACTCTGGCTCTGGGTCAGACTCTGGTTCTAGATCAGACTCTGGCTCAGACTCTGGTTCTAGATCAGACTCTGGCTCTGGGTCAGACTCTGGCTCAGACTCTGGTTCTAGATCAGACTCTGGGTCAGACTCTGGCTCTGGGTCAGACTCTGGCTCTGGGTCAGACTCTGGCTCTGGGTCAGACTCTGGCTCTGGGTCAGACTCTGGCTCTGGGTCAGACTCTGGCTCAAGCATAGACAAGTCTTCTGTTGTTCAGAAATTTTAATTCAATAAAAAGGTTTCTGTGCCGCTAGATAACAGTAGCTCTTTTATCAAATTCCAAAAATGGCCGAAAGGGGTGGGGGTGTGGTATTAAGTGCTTCATTTGCTTTTAAAAAGACAGCGTCAAAACGAGTTGAACCAAGACACCTCAGAAAAGTGGTGAAAGAGGGGCTTGTGGAGTTACAGTAAGGAGGAATTGCAGTTAAAATGTTATATAAAACACCAAATGAATGATTTAAATATGAAAAGGAAGGATTTAAAAGCACACTGAAGGTTAAAAACTTACTGCTGGTCCTTCTTGATGTGACAAACGTAGTGGCCACACATGGTGCTCGTTCCCATGTGACTGATGAATGCAAACAACTCGTACTCTGGATGAAGAGAATCAGACCAGCGGTTAGCTCTAAACCTGATGTGACACTGATGTAAACAAAGAACAAGGATGTTTTTCTCTGAACTCACTTCCTGGTCCGTCTCTGACGCGAGGTCCAGGCGGAGGATCCCTGCCTCCCTCGCTCTCCGCAGCAGAGCGGCCGCCTTCAGACACGTCCATGGACTCCAGGTCGTCCAGGTGAGAGAAGATCCAGTCCACCGCGCGGTCCAGAACGTTACTCTGTGACGGGAGGAAGATGAAAGTAAGACATGACAAAATAAAATATTATTTTTGTTGAGTTTCTTACACATTTGTTAAAGTTAGAGGGTAAAAAAATCTTTGCTTGTTTTAATTTGTATTAAAGGCCATCAAAAAAATGGAAAGTGCAAATACATAACTTCACTGTTCATCTACAGCAGGGGTGTCAAACTCCAGTCCTCGAGGGCCGCTATCCTGCATGTTTTAGAGGTTTTCCAGCTCCAACACACCTGATTCAGTGATTSAATTAACTCTTCAAATTGGGCAGAAGCCTGTTAATYACCCAGCGATCAAAATCTGGTGTGTTGGTGCAAGAAAACCTCTAAAACATGCAGGATAGCGGCCCTCGAGGACAGGAGTTTGACATCCCTGATCTACAGAAAACATATTTCACCTTTTTTTTCCTTGTCCTGTTTTCTTACACTCTTTTCTTAGACACTTCTGAGATTTGTCGAGGTTTTTTTTTTTTTTTTTTTTGGACTTACAGCTGAGACAATCATCTTGCTGCCAAGTACAATTTTATGCCTGTCAAACTGCATTATCTTTGGTGTTTTTCATAGATGAACCTACAAGCTGTTACCTAAAAACACAAATCAAAGTAGGTCCTGTGCCAAGATGGCTGCTGAAAACTGACTTGTTCTTCTTTTGAGATCTGTGAATAAGTCACAAGTGTGGAGAGATAAAGGCAACTATAATGTATAAATGGAAAAAAGTGTGATAATTGAATTTTGTCAAAATAATAAATGCCTCACGTATGAAGATAACGTCTGAAACGTATTTTTTTAATCCTAAAGAATATTTGAAGTACTTTTCTGAGCAGTACAAAGAACTATCAATGATTTTGAACATTAAACCCCTAAATTTTCACATTTCCTGCACGCTCGTAAAACTACTTTCAATACCAGCAGGAAAATCCCCAAATCCAAACATTGTATGAAGTTATCTCTTTCACATGATGTCAAGAAATCCTCATTAAAATGAACAAAAAATTAGTTTAATTTTCTGGGACAAAGCAAGCCATGTACCTGGAACTGCTCTTGACATCAGGGTGATCTCAGAAAATGTGTCTAAAAAATCTATTAAAAGTGAAAATCACAATCTTTTTTACTCAACTGAGTAGTTTTACTTTTGGTTTTGGCCAAGAAGTCACAAAGTGTCACCATAATGTCTGTCAACAAAGAAATACTTGTCTTTTAGTTCAACACTGGCATTTTGTTTAAGTTGTGACTTTTCCTAACCATGCACTTTTATTGTCTATACTTTACCAAAAGTTGACACAAAGGTTTATTATCCTGGATTGTGTACAGGTGCTGGTCATAAAATTAGAATATCATGAAAAAGTAGATTTATTTCAGTAATTCCATTTAAAAAGTGAAACTTGTATATTATATTCATACATTACATACAAACTCATATATTTCAAATGTTTATTTCGTTTAATTTTGATGATTACAAATGACAACAAATGAAAATCTCAAATTCAGCATATCAGAAAATTTGAATATTACTGAAGACCAATAAAAACAAAAGATTTATAGAAATGTTGGCCAACTGAAAAGTATGAACATGAAAAGTATGAGCATGTACAGCACGCAGTATTTAGTTGGGGCTCCTTTGGCCTGTATTACTGCAGCAATGCGGCGTGGCATGGAGTCGATCARTCTGTGGCACTGCTCAGGTGTTATGATAGCCCAGGTTGCTCTAATAGTGGCTTTTAGCTCTTCTGAATTGTTGGGTCTGGTGTATTGCATCTTCTTCTTCACAATACCCAATAGATTTTCTATGGGGTTAAGGTCAGGAGAGTTTGCTGGCCAATTAAGAACAGGGATACCATGGTCCTTCAACCAGGTACTGGTAGCTTTGGCACTGTGTGCAGGTGCCAAGTCCTGTTGGAAAAKGAAATCTGCATCTCCAAAAAGTTGGTCAGCAGCAGGAAGCATGAAGTGCTCTAAAACTTCCTGGTATGTGGCTGCGTTGACCCTGGACCTCAGAAAACACAATGGACCAACACCAGCAKATGACATGGCACCCCAAACCATCACTGACTGTGGAAACTTTACACTGGACTTCAAGCAACGTGGATGAAGTGCCTCTCTTCTTTTCCTCCAGACTCTGGGACCTTGATTTCCAAAGGAAATGCAAAATTTACTTTCATCAGAGAACATGACTTTGGACCACTCACCAGCAGTCCAGTCCTGTTTCTCTGTAGCCCAGGCAAGACGCTTCTGACGCTGTCTGTGGTTCAAGAGTGGCTTGACACAAGGAATGCGACAGTAGAAACCCATGTCTTTCATACGTCTGTGTGTGGTGGTTCTTGAAGCACTCACTCCAGCTGCAGTCCACTCTTTGTGAATCTCCCCCACATTTTTGAATGGGTTTTGTTTCACAATCCTCTCCAGGGTGCGGTTATCTCTCTTGCTTGTACATTTTTTTCGACACATCTTTTCCTTCCCTTCGCCTCTCTATTAATGTGCTTGGACACAGAGCTCTGTGAACAGCCAGCCTCTTTAGCGATGACCTTTTGTGTCTTGCCCTCCTTGTGCAAGATGTCGATGGTCGTCTTTTGGACAACTGTCAAGTCAGCAGTCTTCCCCATGATTGTGTAGCCTATAGAACTAGACTGAAAGACCATTTAAAGGCCTTTGCAGGTGGTTTGAGTTAATTAGCTGATTAGAGTGTGGTACCAGGTGCCATCCATTTTGAACCTTTTCACAAGATTCTAATTTTCTGATATGCTGAATTTGAGATTTTCATTTGTTGTCATTTGTAATCATCAAAATTAAACAAAATAACATTTGAAATATATGAGTTTGTATGTACTGTATGAATATAATATACAAGTTTCACTTTTTAAATGGAATTACTGAAATAAATCTACTTTTTCATGATATTCTAATTTTATGACCAGCACCTGTATTTGTGTTCATTTGATCAAATGTATAAATCACTGGTATGTAGTTTAGACAGCAAAAAATGTCTGAAAATTGTCATGATTTGAGTTATGGACAGAAAGTTAGAAGAAAACAAAAACAGTCAACTATTTCTCAAGATGTCTTTAAGAGTTTACAAAAAAGTCTGACTCGTAAATAATATAGAAAATGAGAGGTGAGTAAAGACTTTGTGCAATAACATGCTACAAAAAGAACATGGCAACACTCAGGTTTTATTTCTGCATCGAGTTTGATTCTGACCGTTGCTCGGAGTGCTTTGGTTGCCTGATCTCGGCTGAAGCCCATGGACACGATGGTCGCCAGGTGTTCCTCGGACAGGCTCTCTGTGGGAGTGGTTCCAGGTCCAGTGCTGCTGCCTGGCAGCACCAGTGGAGCTGAAAAGTCTGCAACGACAACCAGAAGATGAGAAGATGAAACCCAGGAGGGCTGGACTGGAACGCAKCCTGGTAACTTCCTGTTTTCCTCTGCACACACCTGGATCGTCCATGTGGCTCATGGTCCAGTTCATGGCAGCGTCGATTCCAGTGTTTCCAGTGTAATACACGGCTTTCCTGCAGGCCTCCAGTGGGAATCCCATTTCACACAGCTGGGACACAGTGGAGTCATCGAGAACAGGAGCTGAGAGGGAGRAGAGACGGAGCCCTTGAATTACTTAAAAGCAATTAAAGAATAAAAAATAAAAATACAATTTAAAAAAGGGACGTGTAAAAATCATGTATGAAAACATTTTCATGACTTTTTTTAATGCGAGTCAAATCAAATCATAAAATAAATGAACCAACGCAACGGACAGACTCGTGGAAACAGAAAAGTAGGAAATAAAAAGCGGACAAAAAGTACGACGGAGGAAGAGAAAGAGCAGAAAAGACAGACAGACTGACACAGCAGTGGGGAGTACAGCGAGTCGTCCTCGTCGTTGCCATGGGAACCCAGGATACCTTTAACCTCCACATCTGGGGTCATGAGTGGGGGCGGGGCCACCTCAGGTAGAAGCTCCTCCCCTGGCTGCTGACCGGTGGCACGCAGCGCGCTCAGGTCCAGAGTATCCGGAACGTCGATGCTCACATCTGTTCGAACAAAACCAGTCAGGTTATAAAACGGTTTGTTGCAAATAATTCACAACTCCACAACATCAAAGACGTGTCAGGAAATATCCTTTTAATTTTCTTCAAGTAGCTGACAATATTCTTCAAAAAGGTTTCCCAAACATTAAACTGAAGGCGAGGAACAGAGACTTTCTAAAATAATATTTCATGTATAAAATTAAAAACAGAAAACGTAACTTTAAGATTATACTGTAAAAAAATGAACAAAAACAAAATGAGCATAATACCTATAAACACTAAGAAAGTATTTTGTAGATCCACAAAACTACAGTGAAGCTTTGTTTATTCCATTAGCAGATAATCCTGTGAAAACATGAAGCATTCTCTTCTTCAACACAAACTCCAGACAGACTCTTTGCTCACCCAGTTTCTTCGGCACCCAGTCGAGGCCAAAAGTAAACTTTTTAATCTGGATGACCAGGTGGTCGGGGAAAGAGGCAAAGCGGGTTGTTCTGACAGGTGAGACAAAAAAAAAAGTGACATGAATACACACATTTTAAAATGTCTCAGTGAATGTTTCCGTTTGTGAGACCAGGTCTGATCTTACTTGGTAGCAGTAGTCTTTGCTTGAACGGCTGAACTCCAGAAGTCTGTGAGGATCTCCGGTTCACTGAGAGCTGCCATGCAGGCTGAGAAGGGGATTTGTGCACGCACTGTTGGTGCTGATGAGTCCCCCTCCTCGCGGCGGCGCTCCGCTTCCTGAAGCTCTTCTGTGAAACATGGACAGTAAACCAACTTAACCACTTGTGTTTAGTTTGATAAAAAATCCTGGTGCATTTATAACAACAGTTGATAGAGCTGTACGATATATCATCTGAGGATCGTCAGCGCAGTGTATGCATGCACAGCTGTCACACTGCAGGTCCTGTGATGTAGGAGGAACATTCAATCAACATCTGTTCTAAGGACTAAACCATAATGCTTGGTTTATACTTCAAAATGACGTTAGACAGCTGATTGGTGATTATGTCATTTCAGAGGTCTTTTTCTGACTGAGATGAATCAGTGTTGTGTTGAGAGAGGAGTGGAAGGAGGATTTTTCTTGTTAAAGGCGGAACAAGAGAGGGGTGAACGTCTGCTACATGTTCACAGTCTACAGGATCAGACCAGCTCCTCAAAGCTTCGTCTTCATCTTCCTAATTTAACCAGCTTCAGTGAACAGATCATTTTCAGCAAAATGACATGTAGAAAGATGCGCTGCTCCGAGTGCTGCTCTGCACCGCGTGAGCAAACATGCCCAGGAAGTTCTGACGGATCACACCCTGAGAGCCGTACAGACCACAGGACAGAGTTCTGACTGGAGACAATGCACATGACGGCTGTCACTGGGGGATAACAAACAGAAGTTATGCAATTTTTAGYCACTCAGCAGAGAGCGCAACATGTGACTGGAAGTATAAATCAGCCTTAAATCTAGGGCTGCAACTAATGATTATTTTAATAATCAATTAATCTGTCGATGGTTTTTTCTATTAAATTGGCCAAATCATTAAAATGCTTAATTACATAAATAGAATTAGATATAAATTAATTTATTCCTGTATAAATTAGGGATGCAATTTATCAATTAATGAATTAATCTGAAGTTGATTTATCTTATAGATTGACTAATGACTAATTGATAAGCAGCCATTTTCGTAAAAACCAGTTTTCTATTGAATCAAGAGGGTCTTTTCATAAAATGAAGGATTTTTTTAATATGCTAAATTAAAAAAGGAGCACATCATAAATATTTTAACAATTGATTTTGCCAGCTATATTAAACACTGACTGAAAAAAAAGTGGATTTCTCATGCATTAATAAACTTGGTTAAAGATATAAAACATAACAAAACAGAAATTTCATAGGTTGCTGAATGAGGAAAACAGATAAAAAGAATAAAATATGATATTTAGATGTAAAACTATTATTAATTTATTATATTAAATTATTAGAATTTATTTGCATTTAGAATTTTTTTACTTTTTTTGCTTCCTTCTTTTTGGTTCTGGTCTGTGGCTAAAACGAGCCAGTAAGCGGTTCTGAAGCAGCGCCCCATCTCTCCCCTCTCCCCTACTGAGTCAGACCAGGAGTTCTGCTCGCGTCTTTCTTTTTTTTTTTTCCTGCGTCCTGAACCTTTTTGCTGCTTATAAAATAACTTTGAGCATCGGTCACAAAAAGAGACTGGAGGGTTTTATATTTCTGGCCCGAGAGGAGGAAAGAAATGGTGGACTGAGGTTTGTTTTTTTCCCCCACAGGAGGTGCTTCCACCTCGCGACGCGGCTCGCATCAAATCAAACCGACATTTAAGAAAAATTAAATGTGGCATATACTTTTTATCATAACTTCAGATCTACTTGGCCTAACAACACAATTTAAAAACTGGTTTAAAGCTTGAAGTTTCCACTTTTCACTCGAGGTCTCAGAGAGGGCGGATCTTTACAGGTAGTGTTTTTTTCTTCCCAAACTTTATTTAGATCAGCCAGCATTGACAATGCTCTGCGGGTGACGTAAACCGCGACACGGTGAGGGACGCATAACTCGCGCGACACAAAATCGATAATGAAATTTGTTGCAAACACTTTAAATAATTTATTTTTATTGATTTTATCGATTCATTGTTGCAGTCCTACTTAAGTCACTGCACTATATGGTCGCGTGTTACAGCTTTTATTTTGACAAGTTACTTTTGCTGACGAAAGCGAGTGGCTTTGTGTCAAAAAAGCTAAAATTTTATTTTGTTTTGAAACTTCTGGGACAATAATGGCAATATTCTTCTGAAAGGTGTTGCTGGAGAATTCTCAAGCTGTGGAGGAAGTCAAGGTTCTTGAAAAACAAGGAAAATAAGCAAATTTACAGAAAACGGGGAGAAAAAAAAAAGAGGTCAAATTCGGTTAATATTAAAGTGCGATAGAAATAGAAACCAAGAAATACACAGAGGCAATACATTAGATGGTAAAACACAGTTCCTGTTTGCACATGACAGATGGACACATGAACTCAGGTCCCAGCACAATAAAAGCAATAAGAGATAAGAATAAATCAGACTAAACATACTTGTAACATGCATAAAAAAAGAGGTAAGATTTATTTATTTTTATTTATCGTTATTTTACCAGGCAAGTCCCATTGAGATCTCAGATCTCTTTTTCAAGGGCGGCCTGGGCCTGGAGGCAACCTATTTTACGTGTTTTTAGGGCTGGGGGAAACCGGAGTACCTGGAGAAAACCCACGCAAGCACGAGGAGAACATGCAAACTCCGCACAGAAAGACCCCAGGTCCGAACCGGGGATCGAACCCAGGACCTTCTTGCTGTGGGGCGTCGGTGCTAACCACTGAGCCATCGTGCTGCCAAAGATGAGTGCAAGTTAGAACTTTAAGCGTTATTCAAGTCACCTGTTGAAATTTCAATGTCAATTTTTTCTAATATCATGCAGCCCTACTTGTTGACATCTTAAACCTTTGACCCGGTGCTCCTCACCTGTGTTAGTAGCATGGTCCATGGGCACAGGCAGCTGCACAATGTAATCCACCCGCTGTGTGTACTTGGCTTTTTGTGACTGCTGGCAAACTATCTTCTCCTCCACCAGAAACCTGAATGCTTCTGATGGATTGGCCCCAGAGCGACAGTTTCTCTGGAAGAGGGAAAAAAGAAAAGAAATGAAAGACAATGTTTTAAAGAAGACTGATGAGAGACAAATCGAAAGAGAAAGGCAGCTTTACCTCCACCATGTTTATGAAGTGCAATAAAAACTCCTGGGCATCCTGCTGTCGATTGGTGGAGAACTCTGGGTGGCCTCGTCCGACGAGAGCTTTAAACATTCGAGGCGCTATTCCGATTTGGTCACCCTGCAAGAAAACCATCAAGGGAAAGGTGATGAGTTTGAATTTAGCTTCACCTATTTGAGAGAAAACCCCCGAAAACAAGAAACTTAAGACTTTAAAATCCACTGTGACACGTCTGCTTCTTCTTACTCTAGGTTCAGATGCACCGTTTTCATCTCCAGGGTCTGGTGCTGGTTTGGAATACTCTCCTGACAACAGCCCATAACCCAGTTTAGCTCTGTGGAAAACAAACAAAGCTGACATCAATGAACAGCCAACAAACCTCATAAAGCAGAGTCCTACAGGAGAGGAGGATTTAGAGAAGAGAGTGGAAAGTTTATTCATGAAGGAGAGACTTTGTTGTGCAGTTTAAACAACGTCTGCTTTTCAAACAATAAATTTTTTAATTAGTGTTTACTGAAGTGAGTTTTCCTTCCATTAGTCTCACATACAAGTAAAACTCTTCATTTATGTTCCTAATATTAATGTATTATTCTAACTAACTGGACTGGGACTGCTAGCAAAAATAGCATTTTTTTTATTAAACCTGGTACAATGCAGCTTATTCTGCAACAACACTGCATCTGAAATATTTTCAACAAGAAAAAAAAAAACAGAAGAAAAACTTTCGATAAAAAAAGAGGTTTGCAAAAAATAAAGGAAAACCACTCATTTTTAAAATATATTATCCATCACTGTCCGTTCTTTACTGCTGTTCCTCTCGGGTGGTTTCAGGCACTTTATGGTAATTTCTGAGTTTGTTTTATCTAACGAGGACACTCACACTTGAGTTTTGAAGTCCTGGGTTGGGTCACTTGGTGCTTCATCAACAATCTTGTCAAAATATGACACGTATCTGCAGGACATGAGTAAAGTGCTTTTGTTATATTAAAATGATGGACATCTTAAATCAGTTTCTTATGTTTTATTCATATTAGATGTAATTTTTTTTCAGTCTGCTGATAGCAATAACAGCTGAGAATAAAAAATGATGGAGATTGATAAATAGAAAATAAATAAATGAAGCACTGACTTGCTCTGGAAGTCTGGAACGGTGAAGAGCACTTGCATGACAGAATTGAGGTAGCAGCTGTTTCCCAGGTTCCTCATGCCGGTCAGACCGGGCCCAAACAGGGGCTTCAGGGTGGTACCAGACTCCTGGATCACCTCCCACTCCCCTACACGCTGGTTTACAGCGATCTCCAACTCTGTCATTGTCCGCTCAGTCTGAGAGGAGAAAATTCAAAACCCATAAGAGGCTGGAAGACATGGAGCGAGTCTTGATTTATAAAAGGCAACAGAACGAGGAGCAGAACTAGTGGGACTGGAGGGTAATGACTGAAGGCAGAAGAGCAAGAACCTATAAAATGACAGCACTGAGTGCTGCAATCTGCCGCCTGCTTGATTTCCAACACTTTCTCTGCACCCTGTGTGTGGCACATCATTAAGTGCATGCAGAAATGTATTAGAGAGACAAAACACCACATTAGAGAACAGTGAGAGGTACATTGATCTTAAAAACTGACATCTGTTTGATCCAAGTTCTGCCCAGGAGAAGCAGATGGTTCAGAAATTAATGGCAGCAGGAAATCAGAAAACATACAGGTGTTCAGAAAAATTGAAAAAGGAGACAGATAAAATGTATTGTTTAGAGATGTTATTGTTATTCAACAAAGTCTGTTTTATTTTATTTCTGCTTGTTGACGGCTCTGTAACAATGAGCTGATATTTTAGAACCATAATTGGCATTGACCTGCAAAACCAGACTCACTGAAGGGCCAGGCACAAAATCCATATTTTTATATTATTATTTATTTAATTCATCTCAAAGGTTCGTATGAACCCAGTCCTGTTGTAAACCAAGCAGTCTGCCTCCCATGGCGTCTTTCTTACAGTGATTTTATCAGTACAGAGAAAAGCAAGACAGCAGCTCGCCATGTCTGTAATGCAAGCATTCAGAGAGGCAGAAGCTGTGTTTTATTGTACGACTTTGAATGGCCTTGTCCCATTGCAAGTGTTTGAACTGCTGCATCCCTATAGTCCCTCCCATTCCCTCAGATCAGCTGCTCCTGAGGGTCCCTAAAACCAGACTCAAACTCAAGGGGATCGATCTTTTGCTGCAGCAGCTAATAAAATTTGGAACGATCTACCGCTCCAACTCAGACAGGAATAACATCAAGGAGACAACTGGAAACAGCAAATTCTCTCTTCAGAATAGCAATCAAGTACTACACAACAGGAAGGGTTAATAGGGTTAACACTGTTGGGTTAGGAAATATCTGCAGCCTTTTGGAAAACTTTATTCGAAGGCAAGCTTAAATTTAAACGTAAGTTTTCATCAAATGCCTAAAGTGGACAATAAAATTAATTTTAGGTTCTTTCTGAAGACAGTACAGCTAAATGGTCAAACTGCTCATTCTGGCAGTTCAGAAGTATCAGAGAAAATTTATCTGTTCAAATTCGAAAATAGTCTGGCTATAGTGCTTTGACATGCAGCTATCCACAAAGGTGTCAGTCAGCACTACACCAGCCCACCTTCTCAGGAGTCTGTAATGCCATTTCTGTTACTACCTCACTCAGAGGTACAGAGGTGCTACAGACATGTTTCAGTTCCCCCTCTCCACCTCAGTGTGTCTTCTTAATGGACAGTGGTGTTCTGAACACACCCCAGTAACAGAATATGGTATCTTCTGATAAGAGTCTATTATGAAGTCTTTTTCATGCAAAGTCAAACTCACCTTCTCCATGGTCATCATGTCGATGCCAAAGTGAGATAAGTGCTCTGGTAACTTAGAATCCAGCACCATGTCATCCTCATCATAGGAATACACATCTATGCATATAAAACATACAAAACAGGTGAAGGCAATGATACACAAAAAGAAAGACATGGTCAATGCAGTTCCAAACTGTCTATAAATTATAGAGAACCCAAATAGAAAAGATTATCCTGAGCTTGTGTTTGCTTACCAGCGCCGTCAGGAGTGATGGTTCCAAGTTTGACAGCGAGCGGGTATCCCGTCTCCTGGTAGTGGAGAAGAGCGTGGTTGTTGCCCCCCGAGCCATCAAAATACCGGCGACCACAAAGCACTTTACCATCCGTCAGGTTCATCCAAAGATTCTCCTGAAGGTCACACACTTCACAACGCCAGCCACTATAAAAGGTAAAAAAAAAACTTCCTGAATTGTGTTAAATCAGTAGATCCTAATGTTGAGTTTAAATTTAGAAGACTTGACATTTTATAGTACTGAACAGAGAGCTGGGACTTCACCTGGGAGGGATCTTGAGTCCGTTGTCAAGTTGTTTCAGGTCAGCTGCATGCTTCGACTCCTGTCTCACCTCTCCATCCCACTGCTGAACTTGTAAGGCGTGAGACACTGAGTCGGCTGCCATGATACCCGCCATTGACAGAGACACCTAGATGTAAAAAAAATAAAAATACATAAACAACCTTAAAAATAATGTGTTTAAAAATATGTAGTGCTTATTTTGTCGTTGATGAGGTAAAGGTGCCCAGCTGCAGTTTCTTGTAATGTACTGTACACTGACATCCAACCAGAGATAACTTACCCGCTCTCTCACAACATCAGGCATTGTGGCAAGGTCCTCTGAAGTCACCTCCTGTCTGTCTGGTAAAATGACCACCTTTATGTCCTCCTCATATTGCTCCTGATCAACATCAAAGCCTCCTTCAATCCCTGGACAGAAGAGAAACAGAAAAGTTAGCAGATATTATTTCTTAGTGAGGAATAGGGGTGTAAGAAAATATTGATACACTGACATATCGCGATATTTCATTTCCCGATACTGTAAAGATATTCTAAAGCCTTGTATCGATTTTTTAAGGTTTAAAACGTCAACTTTCCTGCCAGCCGTTCATTTTTATGTTGTAGTTCAGCCTCTGACCACTAGTTGGCAGCAGTGAGCCAGACATCTGCCTCCTCTACCTCTTGAGCGCCAGAAAGTAAGGGTAACATTAGCATTGTGAGTAAACATTAGCTTCATGCTCCGATAGCTGAATCTGAGCGGAAAAGACCGACACCCTCTGCCATCTAAGCTGAGGTAAGGTTACAAACAGTTACTTATTTGTCAGAATGTCTGTATTTTAAGCCAAATTAAATGTCTCGTGTGCTCTTTTTCCAACTGTAGTCACGTTACGGAAGCCAGGCAGACATATAGCGCATGCGTCTATCACCTCGAGCGAGCCCGGCACTCCCCCGTGACATAAAACTCTGTTGCTCTCAATGGGCCTCATGCAAGAACATGTTTGTATTTTTATCCTAAAATTATGACTTTTGTTCGTACAAAGGGTTCRTACGAACATGTCACATCAGATTCAACAAACTCTTCTATCTTCAGGAAAAGGGTGTAAACAAGCTGCGTAAATTCCACCTGTTCGTATCCAGCTGCTCGTGCACGCGAGAGGAGATTAGCATAATTACCACC